CCCCCACGTTTCGAAGATCCACCCCCCCCCGATTTTATGTATTTTCCATCGGGATTGAAGCCGACCGGGATCGGGCTCCACTTCAGTCCAACATCCGCAAAGCCGCCCCTCGTCAAGCCCTCCAGCCATTCTTGCCAAGCTACATTGCGGGCGGCTCCTCCTTCAAATGCCGCAGGACGCCCTCGTTTGACCAACATCATGACCCCCGTCTGTGTTGCATGTACAATCCGATACCTTTACTGTTTGTGTTTCCCTCTTCCGCATCGACAACTTTCACGTGCTCCAGTAGAGAGATAGAGCTCAATCGCCGGCCAAGGTGTGAGTGGAATGTCGAAAGCGCACTCTCAGCTTCCTCTCCTGCACGTCCCAAATAGAACAGTCACAAGGTCGATTCGAATAAACACAGAGCATTGCCACTAGCGAGAAGCTACATACACACAGAGAGAGAGCGCGATCTGGAGCTGTGTAAGAAACCACCGGGAAGCGAAGCACATATATCACAAAGAAGCAAAAGAAGGGGTAAAGTTGGAGATCATCGCCTGCGCGAGTAGTCGGTGCCCTGCGACCTGCCCGTGTCGGCACGTGGGCGGCTGCCGCCGTTGGCGCGGTAGCCCTCCTCGGCATCGTACGTGCCCGACTTGATGCTGCCGCGACCGGAGCGGCTCGACATGGACGTGCCGCGCGACGTCATGCTGCGGCTCGCCGAGCTGGCGAGCGAGTTGCTGCGCGTCGACTTGGACGCGATGCTCTGGCTCGCGAGCGAGCCCTCGGCGCCGTGGAAGAACGACGTCCTGCTGCGCGACTTCTGGATGCGCATCGTCTCCATCGCCGCGTGCGCACGCACCTGGCACATGTTGCTCAGCAGATAGTTGGCCTTGCTGCCGCCGCCGATCAGACCCTTGCCCTTGGCCTCGAGCGGCTTGCCCGACAGCACCTTGCGGAACTCGGTCTTGGCAGCCTCGTCTTGACCCATGCAGCCGCGCAGACGGCCGAGCTCGTAGTGCGAGAAGTACACCAGATACCTGTCCACCTCGTCCAGCTTCGAGCCGTGCTCAAACACCTTGTTGAACGACTGCACCGCGTCCGCCTGGATCTCCTCGATCGGGCCCACCGTGTCCTCGGCGGGCAGACGCACGAGCGTCTGCGGCTCCGGGTACGCCACGAAGCGCAGCGCCACACCGCGCAGGAAGAATGCCAGGCAGTACGCCGACCAGTACTCGTTCTCGCCCGTGCCGTACGACTTGGGGTTGTGGTACGACTCGAGCTCGTCGATAAACTCGTCGATGCGCGTCAGCGTGTTCTCGACAAGCAGGAAGACGGGCGTCTGGCCGATGCAGTGCCACAGGTACGAGAACTCGAGACCGGGCAGCGGCAGACGGTTCTGCTGCGCAATGTACTTCTTGGCCTTGAGCGCCACAAACCTCTCGAAGGGGATCTGGCGACCGGCCACCTTCTTGGTGAGCTTGCCGACGGTGCGCATGATCGTGGCGCTCTTGGCGCGGTCGTCCATGCCCGTCTCGTAGAGCATGACCGCCTTGGCGTACTGGTAGATGGCCTTGGACCAGTTCGACTCGCGCGACAGCACGTCGTAGCACTCGTACGCGCGCGCAAAGTCGCACGTGCACAGGTAGGTGAGCGAGAGGTCCCAGAAGCACAGGTGGTGCAGCTGCTTGAACTCGCGCTGCGACTCGATCGCGTTGCGGTAGTACTCGATCGCCTTCTCGGGCAGCGCCTGCGCGGCGTACAGCCGGGCGGACCAGAAGAGATAGAAGATGCCGTTGGGGAAGCGCACCAGGTTCCACGAGAGCACCTTGTCGGCAAACTCAAAGTCGAGCTCCGTCACGGGAATGTAGCTCGAGATCCACAGGTGGTACATGAGGATGACAATGTCGCAGAGCGGGCGACGCACACCCTCCTCGTCGGCCGAGATGGTAGGCAGCGGCTTGCTCTTGCTCCAGCCACCGGCGCGTGCAAAGAGGTCGAGCGAGAACTTGCGGTCGCCGACAAAGCCGAAGCCCTCCATGATTTTGAGCGTCTTGGTGGGCAGCATGGAGAGCACGAGCGAGCAGACGGCGTTGCCGAGGTAGACACCGGAGCGGAAGTCCTGGTCGAGGTGGATGGCGTTGGAGCGCTTGCCGGACACCTCGGCCTCCTCGGCCTCGGCGTCGACGGCCTCGACAAACTTGAAGAGCTCGCGCACGAGGAAGTAGGCCGAGCGCAGTCCGAGCGCCTGCTTGACAAAGCCGATGCTGTCGCCCGAGTAGAAGATGCCGAGCACGGACTTGAGCAGCTGCGACTCGGCAAAGACGAGCTCGGCGTGGAGCTGGACGAGGCTCATGGACCTGTAGTTGGCCATCTTGCCGCCGCCGATGAGCTTGCCGATGGCGCCCTGCTTCTTGCGCAGGAAGCCGGCGATCTTCATCGAGTGCTGGCAGCACATGATGGCCGTCTCAAAGTCCGTAGGCTCGAAGGTCATGATCGACTTGACCGAGTTGATGAGCGCCATGCCCTCGGCCTTGTACAGACGCGTGCTGGCACCTTCCATGCACAGCTCCTCGGCCTCGCGCATGCGCGAGTTGAGGAAGAGTGCCATGGCCTCGCGCACCGTCGCCAGGTCCTCGCGGCAGTCGTTGTCGTCGATGCGGCAGTCCGAGGCGCTGATCTTGGCCTTGACGTGGTCGGGGCGCACGGCGGTCTCGGGCGTGATCGACTCGTCCGAGTAGGCCGACATCTGGTCGTCGTCGGGCGAGCCCTCCTCGTCAAACTCTTCGTCCTCGTCCGGGTAGTGGTCGACGGTGCGGGGATTCTGGCGCTGACTGGGGCGTGCGACACCGTGGTCCTCACCGTCGTCCTCCTCTTCCTCCTCCGACTCGGCGTGCTGAGGCTCGTCGTTGGCACCGTTGTTGCGGTTGCCGCCACGGAGGTAGCTGAGGCCAGCGGCGGCAGCGCCACCGACACCAGCAGCGACACCAGCCACAGCACCGACAGCGGCGCCAGTGTAGCTCTGGGCCTGCTGAGGCTCGTCTTCCTGCTCCGGCTCGGGCTCGGGCTCAGCCTTCTGGCTGGGCTTGCGAGCGAGCGACTTGTTGGCCGAGGGCGAGCGCTTGGCACGCGGGGCGGGC